CTTGAACTCCAGCGATTTCCTCCGCAATGGAAACGCGCAAGAGTGGTGCTAATTCCTAAGGCTAAAACGGACAACATGGAAAGTGCTTCATCATACAGGCCAATATGTTTATTAGATACGATGGGAAAACTATATGAAGCATTAATCAGAGAACGGATTATGAAGGAGCTGGAGATTACCAGAGGTCTATCAGAAACTCAGTTCGGCTTCCGCAAGGGTCGGTCCACAATTCAGGCCATCATGTGGTTGACAGACGCGGTTATGCGATCCAACAAGAAATGGTGTGTGCTTATATTACTGGATGTCAAGAATGCATTTAACACAGCTAGGTGGAGTCTAATAGTAGCTAGATTGAAAGGCCTGGGCATCAGTGGTTATTTAGTGAATATCATTGAGAACTACTTTTGTGGAAGAACAATTGAACTTAACGAACAAAACGTCTTAGGAGTCTCAATGGGGGTTCCGCAGGGCTCGGTCCTTGGACCAACCCTCTGGAACGTATTGTACGACGGCGTTCTACAAATCGAGTTACCGGAGAATTGCAGAACTATTGCATACGCAGACGATCTGGCGGTGCTGGTAGAATCGGAGACTAAAAAAAATTTATCTCTAGCTGCTGATATATCGATGAGGACAATTCAGAGGTGGATGGATGACAATTTCCTGAACCTAGCCCCTCATAAGACAGAGGCGGTAATTATAAAAGGTCCTAGAGCAAGGGAAAATATCAGTTTTATGATCGACGGTCTTGTGATCGTCCCTCAAAAGCAGGTTAAATATTTAGGTATCTGGATAGATGAGAAACTGAATTTTACCGAACACATTAAACGCACAGTTAAAAGAGCAGACGAAAGCATAACAAATCTAATGAAAATATTGCCAAATATAGGAGGACCATCATCGGAAAAACGGAAAGTCCTAGCAGGAGTTGTTCAATCAATAGTCCTCTATGGGGCACCGGTATGGAGAAACGCAATGCATCAAAAAAAAATACAGGAGAATGGTGGAAACAATCCAAAGGAAGACATTGCTGAGAGTTACATCAGCTTACAGAACGACCTCGACAAAAGCTCTACAAGTTCTCGCCGGCGTACTGCCTATAGACCTACTGATTGAGGAGCGAATACGCACACACGATATTGATCGTGATATACTAGAAGAAGCTAAGTCTCTTGCGAGGGCTAGATCAGTTACTCAATGGCAACAACGGTGGGATAATACAAGAGATGTGGCACAATGGACCAAAACATTAATCCCAGACATCAAATCGTGGCTGGAATGTCGACATAAAATGACAGAGTATTACCTAACTGACTGTGTGACTGTGACTGACTGTGACAAAACACAGATATTAAAGGAAAAGGACAGCCCGGTATTCTGAAGTAATGTCTAACGACAGTCCCAGGATACCTGCGTGGCGAAAAGGGGGAGGTTTAGTGGGTAGGCTAGCGCGTCTGCTGGAATCCTACACTCCCGCTGTTCTCGGGAACAGCGGCGTCTTTAGAAGATTCCTCCTCCAAAAAAAAAAAAAAAAAAAAAAAGATAGATAGATAGATAGATAGATAGACAGATAGACAGATAGATAGATAGAAAAAAAAGTGTAAGTAGAGGAAAAAGTTACACACGAAAATTTATTACAGATATTTATTCAACAAGTATTAGAAATTAAAAAAAACCGACTTCAAAAACGTGCAGATGTCATCACCACAACTTAACCAAATTTATATGGGACCACCCCTGAGGTACCCCCTTACTAACAAAAAAGAATTATATAAATCGGACAAGGCGGTAAAGCATTATCGCTAAACATACATAAAAAAAGAAGAGTTTGAAGATTTTCTCATGGACCCAACTATTAGATTTTGACCAAATTTATATGGGACCACCCCTGAAGTAGCTCCTTTCTAACAAAAAAAGAATTATTGAAATCGGACACCGTGTTAAAGAATTATCGCTGAACATACATAAAAAAAATATTGCGACGAATTGATAACCTCCTCGTTTTTTAAAGATTCCTGCAATCTTCCTGTCATATGCCATGGCGGATATGGCATATCCATGGAATATAATAATAATAATAATAATAATACTCTCCCTAATTCACCCCTTACGAGTAAATTTTAACCCCAAAAGCTGAGCTTGTGCGGGGAAAGGGACGGCTATTATTATTATTTGCCGTGACGCTCCGGGGCGACTTAAAGATGATTGATGGTGCCATTTCCCACACCAAATCCCAGAGATATCCACAGAATATCTTTTGTGGATATCCAATATATCCACAGGATATCAGAAATATTCCGTGGATCTAATATGGTGTAATAAAAACACCCTATATGCAAATAATAATAATAATAATAACCATATTAATAATAACAATAATAATATAATAATAATATTAAGAAATAAAATAATGTTGGAAATGTTATACCCTGTATATTAAAAATTTATATAAGAAAGTCTTAAGTGAAGACTTTGGGGAAGTAGAAAGGATGATTTCTAGGTTTGAGTATGATTAATTGTCAAGTTTGAAATTTAGAAAAAAAAAAGTCAAAAAATTTTATGAAAAGAAAAGATTAAGTTTTGGAAAAATAGGAAAAAACTTATCTATGAGACAAGTAAAATAGACAAATTTTAATAACCAAATATACAAATATATGCCAGGTACAAAATAGTTCCGGACAGATACATATAGGTACATAGAAGCAGCCGAAAAGAGGACATGTAAACCGAAGAGGAGAGAATACTTATGGAAATAGACAATTAATGGATGAACTGTGAGTAACTTTTATGAACTGATTACGATTATAACAAAAAATAATTAACTGTGAGAAAAGACATTGGTAGTCGGTATTTTTTTTATAGAATTTAATTTTAGTAAATAGTTTTGTTGGTATGAATGAAGAGCGAATGGATTTAGAATAATTTTAGTAACATAGGAGATTAGAATCCCCATGAGCATAAATAGCGGGGTATTTTGTTATTTTGAGTTTTAAAAGTGTTTCAAATAAATCTTATAAGTTGGTTTGAAAATATGTTTATTTTATTTTAAAAATACAGGGTATAAAACAAGTCGTAAATTTTTATTTTGTTGATTATTGAAATAAAATTAAAATAAAATTATAATAACATTAAAATAGAATTTAAAATTAAATTAAAATAAAATTAAACTAAAATTAAAATAAAATTAAAGTAAAATTAATAACAAAATTAAAATAAAATTAAATTAAAAAAAAGTAATAATATAATTTTGGAAGCCCCCCAGATAATAAAAAATAAAAATAAAAAAAAAAATAAAAATAATATATTTTAATTAATATAAAAAGGAAAATGGTATTCAGGTGCGATATCATTACAATGGATATCCAAATGTCCGTCTATATCCAGAATATAGAAGATATCATATGGATATCCAGCAAAATATCTAATGAGTATCTTCCAGACAATACAAGAAATCCCAGAGATATCCACAGAATATATTCTGTGGATATCCAACCAAATTTCCGTCTATATCCCAGGATAGAGAAGAATTCGGATATTCAGCAAAATATTTTATAGGTATCTTTAGTAGAGGTTCATAAGTAACCAATGATTATTGAATAAAGTCGAAAGAAAATAGCAGAGATAAAAAATATTTTCAACAATCAAAATATTTTCAACACTCTGCCTTTGATTTTGCCCACTAAGGAGAAAGTTGTCCTTATTAGGACTCTTCAGCAATAAATGGAAATTCTCGACTCCAGTCTCTAATGGAGTCTGATTGTGAAACAAATTTCGATCGAACTCAATTACTTGAGCATGAGTAGATGCGAAATTAGTATCGCCATCTATACTTAGTAAGCAAATTCAAAAATTACATCTAGTGGATATCCACGATGGTTTCGTTCGCGCCTAGACTTTGATATATTTAGTGGATGTCCATGGGATATTGAATACACCTTAAAAAAATTAATTTTAAATATCTGAACGGTACTATTAGCCACAATGGCGAGCACAATGGCGTAATTTTTTAATAATTTGCTATATAATTACTATTATTTATGGACATTTGCATGTCTATAAATTAGAGCTCATGGATATAAAATAGATATCCACCATGGAGTGGACATTCAGTGGATATTGGGATGTTTAGTAGATATTCAAAGGATTTGGTGTGCTGTCTGGGTTGACTTACAGGTGAAGAAAACCCGGAAAACCCCACCCACCATCATCGAAAACGGTAGCGTATGGTGATTTTATTTTAATAATCTGGATGTCATATCAACAGAAATTAAATTTCTGCTAATATGGCATCCATCAAATCCTATAGAGAACCATGCAAATAAATTCACATGGTCTTCCGTAGGATCTGAAACCGTGTCTCGTTTTACCAGAAAATTGGCTGACAAATGAATGCCGCGCCGTAGACACCTACACCACCGTAGTCGACAATAGGAGTATGCATTGAATATTCATGCAATATTTTTGTGCTGTCTGGGGTGAACACTAAAGATATCCTTCAAATGACGTCCTTTTTATTACGGACCCTGTATAAAAACAAACGCAAATATTTTATCAAACGTTATATATTATGTACTACTCTGGGAACTTCTTGATATTGATATTAATGATAGTGACAATTAAAAAAATAAAACCTATCATTTATTAATTTTTCACTTTTTAGTTTTTTTGTCTGTTATTTTTTTAATACCTGTTTAAACCACTCTATTTTTTCAAGTTCTGCTTGTATTTTTTGTTTAACTTTATTAATAATGATTTTTGACGTATATGAACTAAAAATCTTATAAAACTTCAACATCCTAAAAACCTACTTATATATTTTTTAATTTATAGGTTTTTCCAACCCTGACCAAATCTATATACCTATTATAATGAATAATGAGACCTTCGTTAACTAGTAAGGCACAACTATAAAGTGACAAAAACCTACCTCGGTACTTATTTCAACAAAATATGATTAGGTACTATTCTTAAATTCAAATAATGTATATTTTTAAACTTACCACTAAAAATAATCGTGATATCACGAAGATAAAATCACACTACCAACATCGAAAAACACTGACTAAGTTGAAAGTTGTTTACAAATATTAGAAGTAGCATCTACTAAAAAACGTAATAAGTGTTGCGGTGTTTGGTGTTGCCATGGTCACAAGTTTATAAATTTGGGAGTGCCTAGTATACCGGCCGTATAGGAAGTTTCTGATTGGAAATTTATATTCATATCGTACATATACATAAGATTTCTCATGGGGAAATCAATATTATTTATAAAACAATCATTTGTAATGTCTTTTTAGTGTTTTGTTTCTAATGTACGTTGACATAAAATTAAAAAATGTATAACATAATAAAACACAAATATTCTGAAAGTCATATGCAGCGACAGAATAAGTTATTGGAAAGGCTTTTGCCAGTTCTCCCACTTTATACACATAAATTAACAGATTTGCGATGGATGAAGCGGCCAAGTGGACGCGATACATTGGCGTACAAAATTATTTTATAGATGTTAATAACAATTTCGAGAAAATAGTTTAATAAATTCTGAATAGCTGTTGAAATTTTGTAGAATTATGATTTGGATATTACAATACATGTTTAATAATTATTTATAGTCCATAAATACATGTTATTATCCGGTTCCGTCGGTAACAATTTAAAATTACTTATTCTATGAAACGATACTGGCAGGTAAATATTACCGCGAAATTCTCGAAGCCATCACCCAGACAACACACCAAATCCCAAAGATATCCACAGAATATATTTTGTGGATATCCAATATATCCACAGGATATCAGAAATATTCCGTGGATCTAATATGGATATCCAAATGTCCGTCTATATCCAGAATATAGAAGATATTCTATGGATATTCAGCAAAATATCTAATTAGTATCTTCCAGACAATACAAGAAATCCCAGAGATATCCACAGAATATATTTTGTGGATATCCAATATGGGATATCCAACCAAATGTCCGTCTATATCCCAGGATATATAATTCAGATATTCAGCAAAATATTTTATAGGTATCTTTAGTAGACATTCATAAGTAACCAAATGATTGTTACGAAAGAAAATAGAGATAAAAAATATTTCCAACAATCTGCCTTTGAGTTTGCCCACTAAGGAAAAAGTCATCCTTATTAGGACTCTTCAGCAATAAATGGAAATTCTCGACTCCAGTCTCTAATAGAGTTAATGCGAAAAATTTTTCGATCAACTCAATTATGGCGGGTTGAGCATGAGTAGATACGAAAGTGGTATCGCCATCTATACTTAGGAAGCAAAATCAAAAATTACATTTAGTAGATATCCACGATGGTTTGCGTCCGCGCTAAGACTTTGATATATGTGGATGTCCATGGGATATTGAATACACCTTCAAAAAATTAATTTTAAATATCTGAACGGTACTATTAGCCACAATGGCGAGCACAATGGCGTAATTTTTTAATAATTTGCTATATAATTACTATTATTTATGGGCATTTGCATGTCTATAAATTACATTTTATGGATATAAAATAGATATCCACCATGGACTGGACATTCAGTGGATATTGGGATGTTCAGTAGATATCCAAAGGATTTGGTGTGCTGTCTGGGCAAATGTAGTTTGACGTTTATCCCCTCTCTATTTACCAAAAGCCTTTCCAAGTTCTGCCCCTGCTATAATTCAAATAATATAAGTACATGATAATAGTTATTAAGTATGTACCAAGTCAACAATGATTTTTTATCGAACTAGTCTGAGATTATGAGCCAAGCGAGAGAAGCGAGCTGTGCGAGTAACAGACAAGTTATATAAAGATCACATACTTTAATTACTATACGGTGCAAGAGAGAGGTCCGACACGTCCAACATAGGGCGCGGCCATTTTGATGCCGTTACCACAGTTTATAACTAAAGAATCAGTTCGCTCACTCTGCGTCGGCACTTTTGATCTTAATGTTCCAGTTTATACACTGCGCAACTCGGATAATACAATATATGACAACCGCCTACAATAAAACAGCAGTCTTCTGCGCATCCTGAATTTGTATCCCTGGAGTGGATGTTATTTTAGAACTTTCAACTAGTCCGAGTGAGCTAACTGATTCTTTAGCAATAAACTGTGACTCCAAAAATATACACGTTACTGTAACGTGATAGATTCGTCAAAATGGCGATATGGAATGACGTGATTTCGCTGTGATATTCTCACGTTACCATAACGTTATTTTCACGTCATCAAATGAGAATATTTAACCTGGACGAGACTGGTGTAATGACTGTTGTACAAGCGCCCAATGTAATTGCAGAAAAAGGAGTTAAATAGGTAGGACAAGTGGTTTCAAGGAAGCGAGAAACAATGGTTGGAATTGTCAGTGCGTCGGGAAATACAGTACCGCCTGTTTACATTTTTCCCAGGGCAAGGTTTCACGATACATTTATGATTGGGGCGCCACCAGGAAGTCTCGGATTAGTTAATAGCCCCTAGTGCTACTTCTCGATAATCACGAGAGTCACAGCTCTTTGGATGCTGTAGTGTATGCAAAGGATCATGGAATTGTGATGGTAACTTTTCCACCTGATTGTACACATCGGCTACAACCGTTAGATGTAATGGGACCCTTTAAGGCGAAATATGAGGTTGCACAAAATAATCATTATGCTACGCTGTCTAGAAAAGCATTCCAAAATTCCTTTATTATGAAAAATATTATTGCTGGATTTCAAAAACCGGGCATATATCCATTTGATCGTAACGCATTTACCGACGAAGACTTTGATTGTGTTACGGTCACTGATAGGCCTGATGTAAATTCTTCGATCAACACGGATGTTCAAACTGTGCGACCCTATCCAAAAGCACCTCCAAGAAGTGAAAATCCACGCGGTAGAAAGAGAAGCCGATCTAAACTTATCACAGAAACCCCAGAGAAAAAAGCCTTGGAAGAGGCATTAAGAGCAAAAGACCAGAAAAACGCAAAACTTACAAAGAGGGTCTTCAACACAAAAGAAACAACCAGTTCAGATGAATCTTTTTCCATCCATGATGATACTGATGTTCTGGATTTGGAAGAACAACGGTCGGAAGATTATGAAGTTGTATTTGAAAACTTGTCAATAGTTAATTTTATATTTGTAAAATTTTGTACCAAAAAAACTGAAGTGCATTATATTATGTTGCTCGAATTTTGAAAAAGACCAGTGGTGACTTAGAAGTCAAGTACATGAGAAAGAAAGGTATAAAATTTTATTTTCCTGAAACTGACGATATTTCTACTGTAGAAATCAGAGATGTGGTCAGCAAATTGCCATCTCCTTCACAGTTAAAGGGCACGAAAAGAACACAATCCTTAATTTCGTTTAAATTGTCCTTGCCTACGTTTAATTTTCGATAAATATTAAACGTATTTTAAGTTACTTATGTTCTAATAAGACACTTTTCTGAAAGAATAAATAATTTTATTTTTGTAAAAAGTTGCGTTGAATTGCACCATACTCAATGTTGAATTGTGCCCCACTCAATCTGCCCAAAAATATTGATAATTCTATGTAATCGATAAAGAATAGATTTTATAAAATTTCCTATTATCAATTGATATACAAAATATAACAGTATTATCTTGTCACTAAATCGCCCTTTTACTATCTATTATTTTGAGATAAAAAAATTCCAACTAAAAAAGTGTTGAAAGGTGTCCCCCTCTCCCCTATGTTGGCAAGTGCCGTAAAAATCAATTAAAACAATATCCTACCCAATTAAGTTTTTATAACAGGCCTTTGATGCCATATATAATTACCTTTTATCGTTTCATTGTTAAAAAATATTATACAGGGTGTTTATTAATTGAGTGCCGATACTTAAGGGTGTGAATCCTTGGGTGATTTTAAGTAGAAAAGTTAATTTCAACATATGTCGTAAATCTCTTAATTTTTGAGCTACAGGGTGTTACAGTTTTAAGAAAAAAATATATTTTTTTTTCATAATTTTCTTATCACTGCAGATATTTCTATGAAATTTTGTAAACACCTTTTAATCATTAAGGAGCATTTTTTGACGTATAAGATTTTTTTAAATTTTTACCAGTAACTTCCGTACGGGGTTTGAACTGAATATTTTTGAAGAAAAAAATGGTACGCCACTGCTTTTTCTAAAATCCAAAATTATTTTTGAAATATTCATTTATTTTTGAGCAAATTTTGCCCATAGACTTGCTTTCGTACGATGCACTGTGTTAGCGTAAAAAAATAAAAACCAAAATTTTTTTTTTTCTTAAGCTGCTTTTGAAATTTTGTTGAAATTTGGTAGGCACCCACCATGCGTGAAAACACTTATTTTGGGGCAAAAATTAATTTTCTACTTCCACCAGTGACGGCCACGTAGGCATCATATTGAATGTTTGGTTAGAAAAAAAAACGTACACCTCTGATTTTTTTAAATTCTATGTATTTTAAAAATTGGGATTTATTTATAGTAAAATGAAAATTCAAAATCTTGAATCTAAAACGAAATTACAAGAGAATACAAACAAAATAAAGAACCCAAATTATTTACAGTAATTGTTGGAAGTGTGCTCCACCCACACGTAGGCAAGCATCTACTCTTCTTCGCATAGACTGACGCACATTTTCAAAGATTCCTGGGGTGTTTCTTATGGTTTGGCAGCAGACTGTTATACGATTTCGTAACTCTTCTTCGGTTTGAATCGGCACTGCGTACACTAAGCTTTTCAGATGCCCCCAGAAAAAGAAGTCTAAACTATTAAGGTCGGGAGATCTAGGCGGCCATGACTGCGTTCCTCCGCGACCTATCCACCGATAGCGATAGGTGTAATTTAAAAATTCACGCACTCGTAAGCTAAAATGTGGAGGCGCACCATCGTGCATTAGCCACATCTGGTTTCTTAATAAAAGAGGAAGGTCTTCAAGCATTGGCGGCAGATCATCTTCAAGGAAGTGTAAATATGATTGTCCATGAGGTCTTCTTGGGAGAAAAAATGGGCCTATCAAATAATCATCAATAATGCCAGCCCAAACATTTAATGAGAACTGTTCTTGATGATTTGACTCAACAATTGCATAAGGGTTTTCATCCGCCCATAAATGGTTATTATTGAGTTTCGAGAAAAATTAGCTT